GCACAGAGAAAAAGTTTACACACAAGCACCTGATGCTGTCATTTCTTCCCTTTTTGGCCACTACTGTGAGTTGTCTTCCAGTGTCTAAAAAACACAGCACAGGGAAAGCTGCCTGCAGGAAACTCCAATGAAAAGTCTTGCTGGCAATTCTTCTCTTTCTTTTTTTTTAATGACAAAGTAATATCAAACTCAGAATGCTAACAAGCCTTGTTTCTATGCCCTCAAGGAAATATGGATGACATTATTTTCATTAATGACAATATTCAGACATAAATTACTACGTCTTCAAGAAATCCCTGTGAGAAATTATTCCATCCAGAGTGTCCCTCCTTTATAGGAAAAGAAACTTGGCTTCTTGCTCTCAGATCTACCACTTGACCTACTGGAATTCCAGATGAAAGATACATTCTAACTGAGAAGCATTATCTAGAGCTGATTCACTATAGAGGTAGAATACTCCAGAACAATTTTAGTAATGAATTTCCCAGGGAACCATAGAAATGGGAATCTCAATGAATCACCTATTGAGAACTATTTACTCAGTGACCTGCATTTGGTGTTTGGTGGGAATGGTGCAGAGACAGAAACAATAAAAATCTGCTTTTATGGATAGCTTGGACTCCCATCTAGAGGTTGAGACTAGGTTAGATCCCACTCTTGTCCCTTTGTCCACACATATTCTATCTCTTAGAAGTAGCTGATTTATTCTATACCACATTTATTCTGTACCACATTTATTCTGTACCACATGTATGAACTTCCTGGGAAAACATAGATGATCAACCTTCATTATGTAAGCTACACCTTCTTGCCATATCTCCTTTCTCTTAAATGCATAAAATAAAACACACTGATTTTCTTCCCATGTGTCTCCCTTTTATACCTTCATGGACAAAAAGTGGCCAAAGCTAATGGCAACCAACAATACTTATCAGACAACTGATATGAGTCTTACCTTCATTGATAAGTTGAGCCTACTTTAACTAAACTGGTAGATAAATCTTTATGATGCAGTTAATTTCTAGCTCCTCCATGATAGCTAATCTATCTCCTATTATATCACAGACTCTTGCAGACCTGCATGCACTTTGAGCCATCCAACAGGATTTAAAAATCTGCTTATTCATATAGGTTGACCTGCTTTGCAAACAGCATCAATAATATGGGATTCTTTTTTTTTTGAGGTTTAACTTACATAAAGCACCCAATTCTTAAGCATACAGCTCACTTGATTTTTTTATATATGCATATATAGAACCACCCAGATCAAGATATAAAAATATTTCAGCATCTAAGAAGACTTCCTTATGCCCCTTCCCTATTAACATTCCCCAGGAGTAATTACCATTCTGACCTCTATCACTATAGATTATTTTTGTCTACTTTGGGGTGTTCTATATATCATCCATGTCTCCTTAACATGTTCAATCTTTCCTCCATCTTCTTAAGCATATGGAATATGGTTATAATAACTGTTTTTATCTCTTTGTTTACTAATTCTATCATCTGTGTCGGTTCTAGTTGATTGATTTTTCTCCTCGTTATGGATTATGTTTTCCTGCTTCTTTGCATACCTGATAATTTTTCATCGGATGCCAAATATTGTGAATTTTACCTTCTTGGGTGCTGGATATTTTTGTTTTCCTGTAAGTATTATTGAACTTCATTCTGGGACATGGCTATGTTACTTGGAATCAATTCGATTATTTTGGGTCTTGCTGTTAAATTTTATTAGGTGGGATCACAGCAGTGTCTACTTTAGTGTTTTCTCCTGACTCTGAGTTCTGAGTTAGTACTCTACCCAATGCCCTGTGAATTATGAGGTTTTATATCCTGGGTGGTGAGAACAGGAACCTTTCAGCTCCTGAGTGAGCACCAGGGATTATTCCCACTAATCCTTTTCAGTGGTTCTTTTTTTCAGGCACTGATTAGTACTAGCTCAAAGCTCAAAGCGGGTACTCTGCAAATCTATGGATTTCTTCCTATGCCCAGCTCTCCCCTCTTGATATTCGGCCTGAAAGCTCTAGCCACCGTGACATCCTGGATTCTCAGCTCCACCTGCTCTACCTGGGAGACCTCTGGGCTTCCCCTGCACTCCCCCTCCCAGTGCTGCATTCTGGAAACTCTTCTGAAGGAGGCTGGGCTTCACCTACATTCTCTCCCATCCCTCAAAGATCACTGTCCTTTGTTACCTCCAGTTTAATGTTTTGAAAACTATTGTTTCATATATTTTGTCTGGATTTTAGTCATTTCAGGCAGGAAAGTAAATCTATTCCTTGTTACTCCATCTTGGCGAGAAGTGGAAGCTCTTATTTTGCCTGTTATTGAACTTCATAGACATGCAATCACATTGTATATTCTCTTTTGTATCTGACTTCATTGACTCAGCATTATGTGTGACCCAGCCATGTTGTTGCAGGTACCAGTAGTTTGTTTCTTGTCTGTTTTATTTTGTTTTGTCCTTTATTATTTCCACCAATAATATTCTTTTTTCTTTTCCTTTTTTTTTTTTTTTAGCTGAGCCATCCTGCCACCTGTTGGCAGCTCAGCAGCAGCTCAGCTCGGGCGAGGCATCGAACCAGCAACGCTGTGGCTGACAGCTCACACTCTTGAGCGAGCTCTTAACCAACTGAGCCACTCGGCCGGCCCTAGTAATATTCTAATATTGAGATCAATAATTACCCCCAAAGTCTTTTAGAAGAATGATGTTAGTCACAGCCTTGGTGTTCATAAATCATGGATTTGATCCCTGCATTTGGCATTTGTTAGCTATATGCCCATGAAAGTGTCATTTAGCCTTCCCACAGTTGTTGGCTCAAAATTAATGATTTGGTGCAAGTGCTTTATACACTATAAAGTGCTTTAAATATAAAGTGATTTTAATACATAAAGTCAATGTTTCCTGATTTTTTTTTACAAAAAAGCAAGAATTTGATATCTACCCTGTGCAAATAATTGCAATTCTTACAGAAGTCTTCGCTAAGTGACAAGTGAAAATAAGTACTTTCCATATACACGGTTCTAGAAAGCTCTTTAAGGAAGATAATGATCACATATTGTAGCCCAGATATTATTACTCAGTTACTACACAATTAAAAGACTTGCCCAAGGCAATCAACCAGGGTAAAATATAGTATGTTTGATTATAAATACCCTTTAAACTCACAGGTATATTGAGTATGCACCAGCAAAGTGGTTTTTGGTGACGGCTGGACTTCAAAGGGCATCAAAAGTAGAGTTTATGCATTTTCTTTTGGGCTATAGCTTTTGTTGTATTAATGAAGTGAGAAATTCCATTTATATAAAAGATGAATGTGTTCTGATAATACAGGTATAATGACATGGAGCTCAGTAAAGATAAATACACTGCGGGCATCTATTGTGCAAATATACATTCAATTTCTCTCTATGATTTGAGTTTTTCTTTTTTCTTAATTTAACTGCCTGAACATTAATTATTCCAATATCAGATAGCATACTTTCACCAGTTTGAAGAAAAACTACCCCCATATCAAACCAAGTGTTTTGAGAGAATTTCACATAATTCAATGTATTCTGTAAAAATAAATAAACATATTATGTCTTAGATTTTTCTTGTCAATGAGGAACCCTCAGGATTTTCAAAGGCACTGGTCTTCTAAAAGATATATACTGATCATCTACCACTGTCAGCTGTTCTAACTGGCAGTCAGTGTGGGTGAACTATAGCCTTTTTTTTTTTTTTTTTTTTTTTTGCTTTTGAGAGTGTTGGTGAATTTGGGGCAATGGAGTTAGACTGCTTCTGCCACTTGTTAGCTAAGTGACACTGAGAAAGCTATTAAGCCTCTGAGTTTGTTTCCCCATTTGTAACAGCATTTGCCTTAGATACTAACAAGATGATTAAAATTCGGCATATAAGGCTTTTGGTACCATGCCTGGCCCATAGAGCTCAACATCGGCTGTGATTGTTATCATTAGGAAACTTGCTTGGCATCTCAACGGGTCCTCCTTTCAAAGCCACTGCCCAACTACTGTGACCAACAAGGGGACCTCACTAGCTCCCAGGTGGTTTTAGCTGCTCAACCACAAGTCTAACATATTCTGGACTACTCACAATGACACTCTTCCTTCAAACAAAATATTCCTGCATATTGCTGTGTGGCTTCATCTGCATCCTACTTGCCTGTTTTGTTTAACTTCCTGAGCATTCTCTCACTATAGTGATTAGGAGAGCAAATTCCAGAATCCAACTGCCTGAGTTTAATCTACATGTACCACTGAGCATCTGTGGGACTTGGGTAAGTTAGCTACTTAGCCTTTGCAACGCTGTTTCCCCATCTGTAAAATGGGGATAATAGAAGTCCACGTCAGATTACTGTAGCGGTTCTCAACCTGTGGGTAGCAACCCCTTTGGGGGTTGAACGACCCTTTCACAGGGGTCGTCTAAGACCATTGGAAAACACATATTTTCGATGGTCTTAGGAACCGAGACACCGCTCCTCTATCCATCTCCAGGTGGGTCCACCCGCATGCAGGTACACTCACATAGTACCCGGCGTGATGACATCATCGCACCAACCCCATCACATACACCCCGTACAAATACAGGTGTATGTGACAGGGTTGGCGCTATAATAATGTACTTATGCAGACCAGTCACACATGTGTAGAGAGCAGCTACTGTGTAGAAAGCGGGTGCTGTGTTGAAAGCAGCAGTATTGGAGGTAAAATGATACTTCATGAATTATAATTACTGGGTAAATGTAAAATCATGTATTGTAAAATCATCAACTACTGCAAAAAAAAAATATCTGTACCATGGGAACTTAATCTGGATGCTGATCGGTCTTTTTATATTCAGCTGTGGTTGATGTGAATACTGCCCCCTTGTGATAGTAATAGGTATGTAAAAAAACAACAACAGAGAATGGTAAATCATAGGAAACTTTAATGAACTGTATTGACTGAACTATGCCATGTATCATCTTTTGTATTATTAAAGCTATTGTTATATATTATTTTCATTAGCAAACCATCCCATGACAATGGATCGTGAAGAGAAGAACGTTAAGAAAAGAAAATATAGTGAGGATTTTTTACAGTATGGTTTTACCTCAATAATTACAGCAGGAATTGAGAAACCGCAATGTGTTATTTGTTGTGAAGTTCTATCAGCCGAATCCATGAAGCCGAACAAACTAAAACGCCATTTTGATAGCAAGCATCTGAGCTTTGCCGGCAAGGATACCAACTATTTTAGAAGCAAAGCTGATGGACTCAAGAAAGCCAGACTTGACACTGGTGGCAAGTACCACAAACAAAACGTAGCAGCCGTTGAAGCTTCATATTTGGTGGCACTCAGAATCACCAGAGCTATGAAACCTCGCACCATTGCTGAGGATTTGCTGTTGCCAGCGGCCAAAGACATTGTTCGAGTTATGATCGGAGACGAATTTGTTACGAAATTGAGTGCAATTTCCTTATCTAACGACACTGTCCGCAGAAGAATAGATGACATGTCTGCTGATATTCTTGATCAGGTAATCCAGGAAATTAAACCTGCTCCACTTCCAATATTTAGAATCCAGCTTGATGAATCTACAGACGTTGCAAACTGTTCACAGTTACTGGTTTATATAAGGTATATTAATGATGGCGACTTTAAAGATGAGTTTCTTTTTTGCAAACCTCTTGAAACGACAGCTACTACACGTGATGTATTTGACACAGTTGGTTCATTTCTGAAAGAGCATAAGATCTCTTGGGAAAAGGTTTGTGGTG